CTCTCATTCTCGTGTCCTCTTCTGTGATTATTATTGTTACACACACACACACACACACACACACACACACACACTGCACACAACCTCTACACCCGAGACTCAGAGAACATCGAAGAATTGCAGAAGAGAGGGTGGAAAGAGTGCGAGAGCCAGAGGGACAAGACACCTGGTGCTCATCAATGCATTCTAGACACGGGAAAATGCATCAATGAACTCTCCAAAGTCTAGTAGTCTAATAAGATCTGCATAATGACCAAATCAGTTGACATGCCAAGGTGAACAGGGTGGAGGGGGTGTCACAGGGTCTCACCTCAAGGTGAAGAGCTCTGGGCAATCAATGGATACTGATAGAGGAACAATCAGTTTTCTCCAGGAAATGGCTCCCTGAGAGGTTATCTAATCCCAAATGGACAGCCCTAAACACAGATACACACAAGTATCAATTATTCTTTATATCAAAGAAACTGTTGTTTTTATATAATACTAAAAAGCCTTCATTTAAAAACTCAGTTTACACTGTTTTTCTTAAGTGGTTCGTTGTTTACACACACAGGTAGACTCCTGGTTGTGTATCTTTCACTATTTTCTCATGCTTAGAGCATTTAAACTTGTAAATGCATATACAACACAGTCTCACATAAAACTGCTCATAGCATTAGCTATGCCAACAGTTTGAGGAATACAGTGAGTTAAAAGGAGTTCTAGAAACTAATGAGCAGAAAACAGTTTGTCAGGAGTACCCACTATGTGACCTTCAACACATATTCTAAACCAGCAGTTATTAGCTTACAGTTCCCAGGAAAGTGTTTATAAAATCAAGCTCCAACCCCTACAGAAGCACAATTAATACCACTGCGTTCAGCCAAGGAAAAGTACTTTTAACTGATTCCCAGATGACTTTAATGCACAATGTTGATAATTACTGACTCAGTTTACTCTACTATAAAACGGGGTATTAGTGATATAAATGATATAAATAGGTTAAGGGGCTGGAGAGATGGCTCAGCAGTAAGAGCACTGGCTGTTCTTGCAGAAGACCAGGGTTCAAATTCCAGCACCATCATGGTGGCTAACAACCATCTACGATTCTAGTTCCAGGGTATCAGATGCCCTCTTCTGTCTTCCATGGGTACTGCAGGCATGACATGGATACACTTACATGCAAGCATAATACTCATACACATAAAATAAAAATAAATTTTAAAAATAGATTATCTTAAACATTAGATAACCTAATGCAAAATATATGTAAAACCAATTTACATTCTTTTATAGTTTTTGTGTTTGTATATGTAATTTTGTATGCATATATATATATGGTAGTGGTCCAAATATTGGAAACTACATATTATACATTGGTATACATCTGTGTATGTAGAAGACAAGTGAACACTTCTCAAATTTTTGAAATTATTTAAAGTGTGGTGGCCATAGTCAGAAAATCCTTCTGCCTCATTCTTTATTTCTGTTTACAAACTCAACCAAATCCTTAAACCCTGACTGTTTTATGCAACCTGTCAGTCTGAAAATCATGGAATAACATATGATATGTTATGTTATATATACATATATATCATATGTGATACATATTTAATATCATATAGTGAGTGTATGATCTTATTATTGGTATAAACTTATTAGAGGAAATAAAGTTTATTTCATTTTTTTAAATTTAATCAATATTTAATTAATAGCATCCCACATTCCTGTAATGAGATGGGCATGTATTCTATATCCTAAGCCCTGCTGAGCCCTGCTACCCTCTGGATACAGACAATTCAGTAGGAAAATATTAATATCCAAATCTATCATAACAGCATCTTTGGTAAAGTACATCTTCTCTTAAACTATTATGACCAATAAATTATTTTTTATGATGCCCCAAACTTGAGGGAGGTAGTTATAGCCATCCCCCAAAAAAGTCTTCCTTGACTGCACAGTTGGACTCCTTAGTTGATGCTTCATTCAGCTGAATTAGCCTGGCAGAGGCCAGTCCCATGATGAAAAAGCAATAGGGCTGCTATAGAGACCAGGAAATGTGAACCGCATCACTATTCCAGCCCCTTAGATTGAGCTAATGATCCTTAGAGTCTGTGAATGAGAAGGTGAGCAGAATGAGGTAAATAAAAACTTCATATTTGCCATTCGGAAATAAAAAGCCCCTTGGCTGGTTATGAGGCTATTAAGACCCTTTGATTTTCCAACATTAGCAAACAAGATAAAGATTAGGAATGAAATCATTTGCTATAGTGCTTTATTATCTTTTTCACTTGCAATTTTTCAGACAGTAAAAGTCCAAGGCAATGACATCTCCCACAAGCTTCAGATTTCCAAAGTGAGGAAAAAGGATGAAGGTTTATATGAATGCAGGGTGACTGATGCCAGCTATGGGGAGCTACAGGAGCACAAGGCCCAGGCCTACCTGAAAGTCAATGCCAACAGCCATGCTCGAAGGATGCAGGCCTTTGAAGCCTCACCCATGTGGCTACAAGACACGAAACCTCGCAAGAATGCCTCAGCAGTAGTTCCCAGCAGCATTCACAGCTCTGCCAACCAACGAACGCACTCCACCTCCAGCCCTCAAGCGGTTGCCAAAATCCCTAAACAAAGTCCACAATCAGGTATGGAAACCCATTTTGAGCCTGTCATTTACCACTCACAAACCCTCTTCGGAAAGGTCAGTTGAATAGCTTAGATTTATATCTGATGGCGTTTCAAATAGGAGACTGAATTCAATTGAAATAAGAGGACAAGAGCCATGGAGAGCGGGAGGCTGGACTCTCAGGATGAGTTGGCTCCATTAGTCTCTGGCACTGTTTCATGTCCAGGGATCTGAGAGCTGGACTCTTCTTTCCCCTCTTCTTTCTGTATTTACACATTATGAAAAGAACAATAAATCATGTGGTGTTGGCTACATTATAAATGCATGTTCATTTTCTCTACAGATATAGGTATCAATAATGACCCAATTAGGAGGCTTTTACATAATCAAAATGGAAATGAAAGAGACCCACCCTATCATCCACATTTTTAGTGACCTATGGCTTTAAGCAGAACTGTTCTCCAAGGAGAAGCTTCAGCTGCCTGTGAGGAAATTGGTGATGATAATGGCAGGAAGTGAGGAGGGTGATGAAAGGCAGTAAGTGGCCCAGAGATAAGGCAAGTCCTGCAAATGTGCCTAGGATGCCAATTTGGAAGCTTAGTCACACATCTCCCAAGTCAGCTGTGCAAGTTAAAGTAGTTCTGAATGTCGTTAACTTACGCAATTATTCCACCAATGGAAACTCACTGAAGTTTTAGCCTTGATATGAGATAAAGGCTGCCTAGCTCAAGCAGTCTTCTTGTACAAGACACCTGGCTGTCTTATTTTCTTGAATGTTTTGCCTAATGTTATAGGATGAGGGGAGAATGCATACCCCAGAAACAACCCAGCTTGAATATATCGGATATGTATACCTACAATTTTTCAGACACTCAAAGTCTGAAGAGCTTCATATTTCCAAAGTAAGGATAAAAGGACAAAGGTTTATGAGTGCGGGATAACTGATGTCAAAAATAGGGAGCTACAGAGCACTATGCCCAGGCCTACCTGAAAGGCATTGGAAACAGCCAATGCACATCTTTAATGCTTGTTTGTTAACAATGTTTTTTTTGGTTTTGGTTTTGGTTTTGTTTTTTTAATATATGCCCGGCATATAGCTCAGTGGTAAGCACTGGATTAGTTTATACAAAGCCCGGGATTCAATCTCTAGCATCATAGGAAAAAAAAATCAATAAAAACAAAACAAAATAATGTATGGCAACATACATTTCCTCTTTATGATTTTGTTTTAATAGATGTGATACAGATTTGGCAGGGCACTGAGCTTAGCGGCCCTGTGAATTCCCCTGCCTTCAATGCTGATGTGCTTCTGTTGTCGGGCTTTAGCCGGTTCTGCTTAATGGTGGCTGAGCCTTGCTGAGGTGCAATTTGTGTGGCTGTCTCATTTTCCTCTTCATCACCTGTTTCTTTTCCCAAATTTGAGAACAAAGCTAGCAGAGCTGATGATGGGGTCTGCTTTATGTGAGGGTCTGTACCGATGCTTCTACACATTTAGTTTTGTAACCCTTATTTAACAAACATTTAATGCTTTTGGAGGTCTTACTTCCCATTTTCCTGCACATTATCAAAACAGAAAGCTACAGGGCACTTGTAGAGTTACAGATTGCCCTCAACAGACAAGTCACAGCATAGTTAGTGGGAACTTCTAACCCTAGAAGTAAAATTATTCACATGCATAGAATATTCCAAGCTAGACACCACAAACCCATCTGTGGATTAAAGTCAAGTGAAGCACGTAGTCCAAGTGAGTGACTAAACAGGGGATGAACTGTTCTGTTTCTAAAATACATTATTTACTGTATGAGATAAAGTAATTCACTCTAAAAATATCTAATTTATTTTTATAGTTCTCTTAGAGCAGTGATGGGAACTAAGTTATGAACTGGATATCCTAAAATAATTTTCAAGTAAAATTATTGTTCGTTTCACATCTTCCCACCAGGCTTGCTCTAAAGAGCAGATTTGCTTTTTCTAGAGATTAGTATGAAGATGAAAGGAAAGCTGTGTCATGGAAACCTACGTTCATTAAAAGCTCTATGAGCTAATGCCTATCTGTGTATGGCAAAGATAAATCAAAGTATCTCAAAAGCGTTTAATTTCTCCTTTCTACCAGTGAATATTGGAAAATAGTGAATATGCTTTTGCCCACATTTTTTAACATCTCTTTCAGAAGTTGAGGTATCCCAGCCACTCATCTAGTATGTACAAGTTTTATGTGGGTATAATCATTGCATGTAATACAATATCTAGGTTGATGTTACATATCGTGTCGTATAATGCTGGCAGAGGTCAGAAAAGGGTATTGGATTCCCCTGGAACTGGCGTTACAGACAGCTGCCATGTGGGTGCTAGGAATCGAACCTGGGTCCTCTACAAGAGCAGTCAGTGCTCTTAACCACTGAGCCACCTCTCCAGCTCCAGTATATACACATTATGTTAAGCATGTGATACCCATATCTCAGTTTATAATTCTGCCTTACAACCCTCAAGTAAAACTTATTTCAATTCTTCATTGATTTATTCACTTATTTACCTTTCATCACTTCAGAAAACTCATGACAAGCACAGGAAAACAAAAATGAATGGTGCCAGTGCACCACCTAAAACTCTCTCTCTCTCTCTCTCTCTCTCTCTCTCTCCCTCCCTCCCTCCCTCTCCCTCTCCCTCCCTCCCTCCCTCCCTCTCCCCCCGCCAAGAGGTTTATTGTGCTAGTCTCCCACAAAACAAGATACATAAATTCCATATATCATGCATTTTTATGGTGAACACGTAAAAAATAAAATCTTGCTTTTATGAGCAAAGCACTGTGTATTTTTTGTGTAGCTTTTGGTATTTGAACATCTGATACAAGGAGGCTGGCTCCATTTGTAGCTTATATGGCACTGTCGCATCAACCTGTGTCACAATAGACTAATCTGTTTGGACCATTATTTTTATTACATTCTCTGGCTTAGCTGACTAATTATTTAGACTAGAATATTCAACTCTAAATTCATACAATTTTCCTGTCATTCTATGTGTTTATGAAGGAAATGTATCAGCTGGAAATAACTATATAAAAATCTTCAAATTGCCTTAAAATTAATTGGACTCCAAAGCAGAAATTAACATGAACGACGAAGAGTCAAAAATCGCCAGTGGCCCTCCATTATCTCAAGATACAGATTTAACCGTCATTTAATATGACTAGCCTTACATCTTTCCCAGATAATTTTTCAAAATTTAGTGAGCATGTGACTGTCCTTCTTGGTTGCCACTATTTTCTTTGACTTTACAAATTCTTTCATAAATGATGAATGCTTATAAATTCCTAACTTTTAAGCGATTTTAATTATTCTATCTCCATTTTACAATAAACGATTAGAACAGGAATAATAAAGAAAATGATAATAGAGATAAACATAACTCACAAATCTCTCATCTGCAGTTATTCTGAGCCCTTTGCAGTTCTGTATACCCATGACATAAACTGTTCATATTAAATGTGGCACTTCCATCATTTTTTTATGTAGTTCACAAAACTTGGAAAGAGAAAATGCCAGTAAATATGATACATGAGAAAACAAAGCATGGATTTAGAAGGAACGAGATGTTCTCGGGTGCTCTGAGGAGGAAGAGTCTGAGTCTACCCATCTGAATCAGAGTAGGCTCCCCAGGAGAAGGGCTCAGTGACAGGAGACTTTACATCTTTATAGCAAAGAGAGTGAAGAGACTTCTCAGAGAGGAGAGTGGCATGCATCCAGATGATGATAGGAAACCCAGGACCTCTGTGAAGATGGACTAGCTTAGCTCCAATTCCCAAGAATTTGGAAACACTCTAGCTTCCCTGTCATGGTAGCCCTGGGTACTCTAACACACTCATCATTCTTTGCTGTTTCTGCCTGTCCCCTCCCTGGTCCCCAGTCTTTCAGAAGCTAAATTTTTCCTACTCTGATCACTTCTACTCACCTCCTTTTTTCCCCTCCATTTCCTTCTCTCCACTGATCCTCCCAACCAACCTGACAAACCAGCAAACTGGACAGAGTTGATGCCAGTCCCTCCTGGAGGGGCTGTGTTGCCCTGTCCGCTTTCTTCCTATCTCATTCCCACGAAGACGTGTTCCCTTGTCTATGCCACTACCTATGTCTCCTGTCAAGTCACTGGTGTCTACTAAACTCCTAGTCCCCACGTCCTTTTGTAACTCATCCATTCTAATGTCTAGAAAACACTGCCCCCTTGTCAAGCCTTCCTGTGCTGACCTCTTTTGTCTGCACAGACTGGTCCCTGTCCCTTGCCTCTCTTGTCTGCTTTACTGACTCCCCTTCTTCATTCCTTTTATAATGTTATCCTTTGATCATTATCCATTCCCATAATTTTGACTGCTAATTTTCCATAGAAAAGTGATTCCATTCACATTTCTCTTTCTTGTTTTTTTCTTGAGATCGGACTAAGGTTCACAATTTTCCCTTAAATGTCTCTACATGTATGTCCTTCAAACTTCATGGCAGATATAAGATGGGCATACTTGTTACACTGCCATTGAGAACTGGAGTTTGTTTTCCTTCAGCTGGAGTTTGTGCTGGCCTGGGACCACTGTGACTTCTAAGGTATGGCGAAGGGATGCTGTTCCAGTCCCAGGCCTTTCAGGGACTAGAAGCTTCTGTTCTGACCTCTTGAAAACCTACCACCATGATGAAGCCACCTTGAATACCCATCCTTCCCAGCCTGCCTCTGACATCAACCCCAATTCCATCTCCTGGCAAGCACTGTCCAGTTTAGCTTAGAAATCACGCAGAGCAGTGAGCAATCATAATTAAGGGCAGTATTTCAAGTACTGGGTAGTAGCGTACTTGTTTCACAGCAGTGAATACCCACATCAAGCCATGAAAACTCAAATGCTCAGAGCTAAGTTTTATTATTTGAGCTTTTCCACTATAAAAGAAATGTTCTTCCTTTTGTGCTCCCAAATTTCTAATAGCATCATCGCAACGATACCCTGGAGGTGTCTAATCTCTTCTGTCAATTGCCATGGTGAATCAG